CGCCCAGATAGGGAGAGTGCTCTCACCCCCCAAAGTCCCCCCGCCGGGGTGGGGTGGGGGGGGAATTCGGGGGGGTGAAATTCCACTCATCTTAAGGTGGCCACATTTGGACAAAACTGTCTTAGGGGAATACAAATATCTACAGCACCCTTTGTGCAGGCTTTTCAGTGTCTTCTACAATTTTTTTTTAATCGTTCCCATTTGAGATGATCTTACGGTCTCACATTTTAACAAGAGTTTCAACTACTGTTATTAGTTAACGTGATTATTTACTATAGGAGTGGTGTGATCACTTGTACTGATATCATTGCGTTGTTCTTCCAACCGATTTCCAAAGTTTGGGGAGGGACACATCCTGATGACAGGATACTTGTCTATTAAATCAACCAACAGAGCTGATTTAATTCATTTTTGCTTTCATTCTGTTTTGATTTTATACGAGGAGTGCTGCAAACTTGGAAGACTTTGGGGAGAATAAATGTCTCATCCAAAAAGCAAGCCAAATATTAAAGGGATTAGAAAGACTTCCGTAGGACAATAGAATAAATTAGGGGTGGGGAATCTATGGCTATTTAATTGCCTATAAGCTCTAATTGTCCATAAGCAAAAGCCACCTTGGCCAAGGTTGGCCATGTTGGCATTTATACTGAAGAACATTTAGATGTCCAGAAGTTGGGAGAAACAGGTTTCATGCCTCTAAAAGTTTCTAGAATCCTTGGCATGCACCTTTTCTCCTGTCCCACCCACTTTTATTTATCTAGCCCCTCCCTCCCAACTCTTGGGAATCCCCCCCACTGAAAGGCTAACTTTGGATGAAAAAGTCAAATAATGTTATGCTTGTAATATGGTCATCCAACATTGTAATTAATATGGACAGAATACTTCTTTTCCTCTTTATTTCAGCCCTCTAAGCTATCTAAATAATAGAATGTCAATAATCTTCAATTAATATTGTATGCACTTTACCGTACTGAAACAACATGATGTATCGAGATTTATAACAACATAATAAAAAAAGGGGGGGGAAGGCCAAGTGTGATCCTCAGCCTAAGAAAAGTTGCACATCATGGCCTACTAATGATCCAGGCATTATGCCTTTTGCATTATCTTGCGCTCCCTTCTATCACGCACTGCTTAGCCTCCTTGTCCATCAAATGACATTTCTGCTTAGGAAAAGACCACACTTCTACAGGGGTTGCAACACCCTTCCAAAGGGGTGGGACTTCAATCGCCTGGTTGTTGCTGCCACCTTGACTTTTTTGACCCACCTCTCTCCACCTACCCCCGTGGACATTCCTGTTCCATACCTTGGTTTTGGCATTGACATCAGCCTGATGCTGCAGGAGAAATTTCACCAGCTTGATATTCCCGTAATGAGAAGCCACGTGCAGCGGCGTGTAGCCCATCTGGAAGGCAGAGGTAAACAGGGCAGGTTCTCACAACCACCGTTGGGCCTCACAGCCTCTCCACCTTTTTTCTCTGCCACCATAACCCGCTCCAGAACTAATCCAGACTAGTTGAGGCAAACATTAGGTGTGGTTTTGACAATGGAACATGCCCCTTCTCACATTTAGGAAAACACAAGGGGAACACGTTCCCACAACATGCTTAACCTGATTAGTCGAGGCTCTGGTGATGGATTCACATAACAGGGAAACAGAGCCATCAATACCAATATTAGTTTTAATTGTATTGTATCTCCTATTCTGTTCTGTTCTGTTCTGTTCTATTCTATTCATTTTATTATCGCTGTATTTTTGCCATTAGTATCTGTACACCACTGACTGTATTGAGGCAGTAGACAAATTGCATAAATAAAAAAAAAGAATGCTAAGCTTGCTTAGGGTTAACCTTGTTAGGATTTGGATGGGTGGGTGTGGATGTGGCTTATAGCCCATCTGGTTAGTTTATGTGTTTTGTGAACCTCGAAAATCGGCTAATTCTTCCACAAGGCCGAGGGCGATAGGTGAACACATCCCCAGCATAAAACTAACCCAACTTGGTGAAGTCCAACAATTTGTATCCTGGCACGTTCTTGCTCCTAATTCTATAGATTGGCTGACATGCAAAATGTCAAGGGATTAGAGGATGTTCTCCTCCCCTTACTTATCCAAAAACAGGCGTGGGCAGCCTGTAGCCTGTGTTCAATTTTTGCAGCTCCCTGCAGAGGCATCCATGGGGTGGGGGGGTCAAAAAAGTCAAGATGGTAGCTGCAACTGTGTGACTTGAGCCCTGCTCCTGTGGAATTAAAGCCCCACTCTTTTTTATTGCATCGCAATCCATGCAAAAAGGAGCAAGCCTTCGATCATAGGGTCACTGACACCATCTTGACTTTTTTTGACAACTCCCCCTTCAGTCACTTTGCCCCCAGAAAGCACTGCTGAAAACACGAACTTTCAGCAGCATGATTTTTTCCAAGTTCTGGGGGAAGACAAGGCATGAAACAGGTACCTTAAGCCTCTGCAAGATTTAAGGCACTCATTTGGTCCCTTAATTGTTGCCCCAGATTTCTGCCCCTCTGGCTCTTGAAACCAACCAAAATGGGGGTGGGGGTTAGAAATGGATCCTCCCAGTTGTGAAAAAAATGCCCAACTTATGGGCAGAAGTGATGGAACCAAGAGTAATGTCAAGATGGGAGATATTCTTCTCTCCCATCCTTGCAAGAGTGGAGTGTAAACTATCAGGACCAGCTATCCCATCTCAGCTCATTACACTCCCTGCCTCTCTGCCTTCACCCACATATTTTGGCCCCATGCTAACAGTTTTCTGGCTCCTCCCCCAGGGGGGCTGGCCTTGGGGAGACCAAGGGGACTCACCCGAGTCGTTGCATCCACTTGGACTCCATGCCTCAGCAGGTTGTCTGCCACCTGGACGTGTCCCTCCTGTGCCGCCAGGTGGAGGGGGGTGAGGCCGCTCTGCAATGAAAAACAAATCCAAGTTGCACAAGGAGGACTCCGGAAATGGCTGTCATGACGATTCTTGGCGTGCTTCCTCACTGCGTGCCACCCAACCAAAGCTTTGTGGAACGTCAGCTGTTCCAGGTGCAGCCGAAACGACTGGGCCTATCAAGTCCCTACTAGCCACTCACAGCCAAAAGGCTACATTTTCACAGGGTCTTATTAACCAGATGCATGGAAAGGAAAACAGGTATTGTGTTATAGTACCTTGGAAGAAAAGAGGGAAAATAGCCCCTTTTCCAACTACCAAATTTTATCAGATGGACAGGGTGGCTAAACTGATGTAGGATCTGAGGAAGCGAGCTGGAACTCCCAAAAGCGTAGGCTTTTAAATAACACTTATTAGCTGGAAAAAGCGCTACCAGACTCCTGATTTTTTTGCCATCCTAGACCAGTGTTGTCCAAACTTGGCCACTTTAAGATGAGTGGACTTCAACTCCCAGA